ACATGTAACATATCTTCGCAAGAATAAAGAAAAAAATCATTGCTCAATTTTTCGTACCAAACTGTGCATTTAGCCCTAACACAGTTTGCATGAGGATGTTAGAAATCAAAAAATTTTGGAGGGATAAGATTGTTAAATTCAAATCAAATGATAAATACAAAGTTTTTAATTTGTTATTTGATAGTTGTTATCTATTTTTTGGATAAGTACTAATTATTGAGAGTTATTGAGTTTATTTTATTATAAATAGGAATAAATGTGTGCTAGATACTCATGGCTTATGGTTATTAGTCAATAATGTTATAATCAAGTTTTTTTTAAATTAATTTTTAAAGTTCTTTTAATATTCAAACGTTACAAAGAATTCAGGTGGGTTTATTATAATTCAAATATCACCTTTATATGTTACACAAAAGTTAATGCTAATGTTTGTTAGCACATTCATATGAATGATGGTTCTATGTTAGAAGGGATTGCTGCTCGTTTGAGAACACTAATCCTGACTCCACGAGATTGCTCGTTTGAGTTGTAGATGGGTAAGGTTTTCGCCTTTTCGGGCTTTGATAAAATGGAGTTTTGGCCATTTTCAGGTACTGTATGTCCGTAAATGTGATGGGATTTGTGTACTTAGGCATGCAGGCTTTGGATTTGTCGTACAATATATCGTACAGCATCAACAGCAACGTCGATATTATTTTGATTTCACCATTGATCAGGCAAGTTTTAGATTTGGGAGTTTAATTTGGCAAAGATATGATTCTGCTATCGACTATTTAGCCAACTCTTTTGCACTTTTTGAAGAATGTTTACCTTTTCGAATGGAAGTTAACATGTTCTTTCTCTGTTTGTCGAGTAATAACTCTTTACGTGACTTCAAATGTTGGGTGGCCACACTTAATGACTATGTTTTTCTTTTGGTGTGATTGTTGCTACTTATGAAAATTAGAGTACAGAAACAAGAATTTATCATCGCCCAAAAATGGATAGAAAGCCGTGAAAAGAGAAATCGTTGATAATGGAGGAAAATAATTTGCTTATTAGTTAATACTAGTTTAAGGCACGTGCAAGGCACGTGTAGAATTTTTATTGGGTATTTAATAGCGTTGATATATATTTGTGGATAAGGATTAATTATAGCAGGTTGGTTATAATTTCATTATTGTGAATTGTAGTAGAAGATTGTATAT